TCCTATTACTGCAGAATGGATGGTGGGTCCATTCAAAAGTGCTGGGTTAGGGCGGGCATTTTGTTCAGACAGGACACCCACATCTCCCGTGCCAGGATTGCCATCCCAGTTCTGTTTGCCATTGCAGCTTCCTGTTGGTGTGACCCCTGGGAGGCAGCAGGCTGCTCAGGTAGCTGGATCTCTGCCTTGCCTCTTGGAGACCCAGATGGAGTTCTGGCTCCTGATTTTAGCCTGGTTCTGTTGTGGGAATTTGGGGAGTAAGTCAGCAGTTGGAAGATCTGTTTGCCTCTGTGCCTTTCAAATTTATCAAGTGAGAAGTACGTAAACATAAACTTTTTTGAAGAAAAAGGCGCTGGGTCACACAGGTGGTGCTTAGTTGCTGCAGTACATACTCTCATGGATGGGGGTGTTGCCTGCCTCCTCATCTGTGGTTTACCACATTTCTGTTCTCTCTCCCAGCTAAAACCATAAGCTTTATATTTCGTTGGAACAAAAGCCAATTTTTAAATATTTAGCTTTGGGTAGCCTAATGACTCAAGTCCTCACCTTGCACACCAGGATCCCATATGGGCATTGGTTCTAATCCCGGCTGCTCCACTTCCCATCTAGATCCCCGTTTGTTGCCTGGGAAAGCAATTGAGAATGGCCCCAAGCCTTGGGACCTTCTACCCATGTGGGAGACCTGGGCTAGGCTGTATCCCCAACCAGTGTGAGCTGGGGGTATTTGCCAGGGTGCAGCACCCATTGGCAAATAATGAGGTTAGGTGGACCATGCCAGACCTAGCCACAGCACTCAACCAGCACATGTGGGACCTAGTCAGGAAGCAGGTAAACCCGGTAAGGGGGCTCTGTGGGGCTCCCCTGCTGGACCACCACTCCCACCTCCCACTGGAGAGTGTGAGTTGGGATGGGGGCAGACCAGACCAGGCAGGGCTGCAACACCTGTTGGCCTCATGTGAGCTGGATCAGCTAAAAACCAGGCTAGGTTGACTGTTCCTATTGGTGCTTGCATAATGAGTGGGTATAGATTGGTTGGGCTTTGCTGCAGCATCAGCTGGCAGATGCTGGCACTGGGGGCTAATTCTGTCAAATTAATCTGCAGAACCACCTGCAGAGTGCAGGATCTTGGAGTGGGAGTGGCCTAGTAGGGAAACAGTGGACAGTTCCCTCTTGGGTTGCCATTCTCACTGGTAAGCCTGAGAACCAGGACTCGAACAGTAATGGCTAGACGAAGAGTGGCATCAGCTGGCACATATGTGGGCTGGATAATGGGACTGGTTGGATTGAACTAAGGTTGAATGCCCATTGCAAAGGACACCTGAAACCATGACAGAGGACAGAACAAACTGATCAACTACCCCAGCCATGTGCTGGCAGTGAATATCTGGGGAAACGGAGACTCGAGGGGTGGACTGTGTCAGCCAGTGAATTCTGGAGCAATTTTGTTGTGCCTGGAGTGGCGAGATTGGCACTATTTCAGAACTGTTGAACTATCCAAAACCTCTTGAGCAGAACCCTCAGAACATGCCCCACATTGGGGACCCCAGGGTGCAGAGGCGTTTAGGAAGCTAAATGTGACTGGCTTCTCTCCTTGTGTTTGCCTTCCCCACTGAATCAGGAAGGAAAATAAGAATGGTGGTCTCAGCCACCTTTCTGTACCCCTTGGCCCTTATCATCCTAATCAACTATCATCAAAAACATAATAATTTATTTATTTGAAAGAGTGATAGACACAGGGATCTCCCATCCACTGACATTCTGCATACGGCCACTGGGTCAGGGTCAGGCCAGGATCCCAGAACTCAGCGTCTCATGTCTATGTGGGACCATTATTTGCTCCATTCCCAGGTGCATTAGCAGGAAGCTGGAGCAGAAGAGGAGGACCTTGCATTTGAACCAGCACTCAGATATGAAAAGCTAGAGAGAATGGACTGAGACTGCTCTTCCATCTGCTGGTTCAGTTCTCAAACACCCATAACAGCCAGTGCTGGGCCAGGCTGAAACCAGGAGCCTAGAACCAATGGTGTGGGCGGCAGGGAGCCCAGTACTTGAGCCATAGCTACCTGTTGTCTCCCATAGGAAGCAGGAATCAGAGGAGCTGGAGCTTCAAGCCAGGCATGCTGATATGCAACTTTAGAGGTCCCCTACGTGCACCAAATACCTGCCTGTTCCTTCTTAGAACCACTTTGTGGGCCAAGCGTGCTAAGCTATTGGCTAGATCCTTGCTTTGCATGTGCCAAGATCCTATATGAGTGCCAGTTTGAGTCCCAGCTGCTCCACTTTGCATCCAGCTCCTTGTTTGTGGCCGGGGAAAGCAGCAGAGCATGGCTCAACCTCCTAGGACCCTGAGCCTGCGCGGGAGATCTGGCAGCTCCTGGCTTCATATCAGTTCAGCTTTGGCCACTGCAGCCACTTGAGGAATGAACCAGTGGATTCAAGATCTTTCTCTTCCTCTCTGTAAATTTACTATTAAAAAAAATTTTTTTTTATTGGAAAGTCAGATATACAGAGAGAGAGGAAGATCTTCCATCTGGTGGTTTACTCCCCAAGTGGCAGAAACAGCTGGAGCTGAGCCAAACCGAAGCCAGGAGCCAGGAGCCAGGAGCTTCATCTGGGTCTCCCACGCAGGTGCAGGGTCCCAAGGCTTTGGGCCATTCTTGACTGCTTTCCTAGGCCACAAGCAGGGAGCTGGATGGGAAGTGGGGCTGCCAGGATTAAAACCAGTGCCCATATGGGATCCTGACGCATTTAAGGCAAGGACTTTAGCCACTAGGCCATGGCACCGGGTCCTAAAATTAACCTAAGAAACATATTATTAAAAAAAAAAAATTATAAAGTTCCGGGCCTGTTTGGCTGGTTCAGTGGCTTGGCTTGCAAGCTCTGGGATCCCATATGGTTTGTGTCCTGCCTGCTCCACTTCCCATCCAGCTCTCTGTTTGGCCTTGGAAGGCAGCTGACAGCCCAATGCCTTGGGACTCTGCACTCATGTGGGAGACCTGGAAGAAGCACCTGGCTTCAGATGGTCTCAGCTCTGGCCAATGTGGCTGCTTGGGGAGTATACCAATGGTGGACGATCTTTCTCTTTGTAAATCCACCTTTCCAACACAAAATTTAAAAAGCATACCATTTTTGAGAGGTAGAGCTGGTTTCCCCAGCTGTTTCACTTTTCCAGTGTTCATGACCAGGAGCTGGGAACACTATGCAAAATCCAACATTCCCCGCTGCCCTTCAGGGTGCACAAAAGCAGAAGCCGGAGTTCAAACCAGGAACTGGTGCATGCTGTTGGTCAAGGGATCACCCCTCAAGGCACTGCGTTTTAGTGGTCCTAAATGTCTGACTCTTTTCTCCAGTTGAAGTGGGACACAGCTCACCTGCAGCTTTAATCTCAGGGAGGTGTAGCTGGTATCAAGTGAAAGGTGATGTCAAGTGCTTTGAAATTGCACAGGCAGCCAGGATCAGGCTTTGCAATATGGTCTTGTGATCTTCCGCCACAAATGGCAGCGAATCAGGGACATGATTCAGGTGCACGGCAGTAGGCCAGAGCTGTCCAGCTGCAGTCCTGTTGGCACGGGGGTGGTGCCAAGATGGACAATAGGGATATTTTGGGTAGAACTTGCAAGAACCTGACAGTTACAACAGCCTGAGGACAAGATAATCCCTATTCTAATTCTCCCAGATAACCCACTTGGAAGTCTGTCCTAACTGCTAACATCACTAAATGTCACTAGTTTTACTTCATCAGTCTGCTAGACAGAGCTGCTGCGGTGGGTGCAAACGCCTGGGAGATGAACTTGAACACTGACCCACTAAAGGGTTAGAATATGTGGTGGGGTTATTTTTAGCTTTAACCACAGTGAGCCGTTTCCACAAAACATCCTCACAAGACAGTTTTGTTACATAATTCCCCGTGTGTTTTAAGGTTTTGAAGTTATGGGAAACTTGCTGAAGTACGTAGAACCTGAAGGGGATTCAAGACATACGCAACCGCCTGACCCTCACAGCAGAGTGGATCCTGCTGAAGACCTCATGTTCCAGGAAGTCTTAATTTCCACTTAAGGTAGCCTAACTTTTATTTGAAGGGCAGACAGGCAGGCAGATCTCCCTGCTGATTCACTCTCTAAAAGCTTGTTCCGGTTCTCCTGTGGATGCAGGGCCCGAGGGTTTGAGGCATTTTTAGTGGCCACAACAACTGAAAAGGGAAAGGAGCGTCCAGCGTCCATATGGGATTTTTGGTCACTCAACCTGGATTCTTTACATGATCAGCACGTACCTAAAACATCATTCAGTGCCTCCCGGGGTGTACAGTAATGAAGTTGGACTTAGAAGTGGAACAGAGACCTGAATTCAGGTGCTGCGATATGGGACTGTGGGCATCCTAACCGGTCTTAACCATGGTGCCAAATGCCTCCATTAAGTCCAATTTCAGAATACAAAAAAGAAAGTGGTCCCAACGAGATTCTTGAATGCCCAGTGAGAGTTCAGAGACAAACTTCACGAACTAAGCCTCTGCAACGGAAGCGTGGAGCTGTTCTTAGGCATATGGGTGGACAGATTACCCTACTGGTCTGTAGCAAGACTGGACGGCTCACACAGGCTAGAACAGGACTCAACTATAGGCTCTTGCCTGTGACCAGAATCACCTGGGCTTCTCCCAGGTGCCACTGTGCATTGTGGAAGTCAAGGGTCCAAGTACTGCAAGAAAGGAGCCTGTAGCTCCTGGACCAAACAGGCAAAACACACGTCTGGGTTCAAACTCTAAGCCCCCATTTTTTCAGGCATTTATCCGTTTTTTCTCTGTGTCAGCCCACTTGCCCCCAGAGTGTGGGGAAGGACAGAGGTTGCAGTAGTTCTGGTCGTAGCCTGTGCAGAGCTCCCAAGGTCCCATGCAGACAGTGGCTGCACTGGGGACTGGGTGGGCAGCTCCATTTTGTCCCTCCTTACATTGTACCCACCCCACGAACCCTCCAGGGCGGAACAGAAAGGGCTGCCTGACACCCAGGTTTCATTGCTTCCACTTTATTGCTCAAGCATGGAACTTGAGGCCTGGACCTTCAGCAACGTGCAGAGAAGAGGCTGAGGGGATGGGAGTGGAGGTACAACGTGGGTGAGAAGGGAAACTGATGGAAGGCAAACACCAGAACAGAGGTTAGGGCTGATCATGACACCAGAAGACACCGTCTGCCACATGGCCTGGGGTGAGGCGGGACAGCGAAGTGATGAGCATAGCAATGGTTTTCCCCACGCCCCAGCACCCACATGGAGGCCACAGTTTGGAAAGGGACTGGGAGGGGGCAAGAATAACGAAAATGGCTGCCCAGGAGTCAATCTCCCTCTCCACCCTGCTTTCACATCAGAAAGCACCCCTGCCATCCCTATCATTTGCCCCTTCCACCGTTCGCACCAGACCTAACAGAGGGCACCAAAGCGATGAACATTCAGCTGAGCGGTGTGTGGGTGGACACACGTTCATGGGACGGGGGAAGGGAAGCGGGCGACAATACCAGCCCTCCCCTCAATGCCCCCAGCCTACTCTCTTCTCCCTTCCCCCCAAAAGCCATCATCCAACCAGATACAAAAATAAAGGTTTAAATCACTCAAAATTCTTCAATTTTTACAAAACTAACAGGGTGGAGCAGGGGAGGGGGGGCAGAGGCGGGCAGTCGCAGGGCAAGGGCGGGCGGGCTATGCTTCTGCCTCCACCTGGGACTGGCTCCCAGCCATGCTGCTCTGTCCGTCCTTCATCTCCGCGTCCGAGTGGTCACCAGCTGCCACTTCCTTTGCCTGCGGGGAGGGAGGGGAAGAGGCTGAGCTCCCGAGTAAGCCCTGGAAGCCTGTCTGCGGGTGGATTACATGTTTACAAGGTCACTCGCTGAGCAGTTAGGAGCACTCTGCACGCGAGCCACGGCTGCGTGTGACTGTAAATCAAACTGACGCAGTCTAAAGGCAAAACACACATTGGATTTTGAAGACTTACTGTTAAAAACCAACATGCAAAAAACAAAACAAACACACAAAAAAACTACAGGTAACACTTTAGGGACCTTAAGTCATCAAAATATTTAAAAATTAACTCCACATACTTATTTTTACCTTTATAAACATGGCTGTTACCAAACTTTAAAACTACACACTGTCTTTTCAGTTTGTGTAGCTTTTTAACACTGAGAGATGAACAGGAGCCTGGTTAAATATTGTGGATTACATTCACGCGATGCAGAAAGGATGTGATCTTTAAAATGCTGATATGGAATCAGCTTCCAGCTACTGTTCTGTACAAAACACCGAGTGTGGGAAATTAACAGGTGGAAACGGCTACTGCTGCTGGAGGGGAAGTGACGTACATGCGTGTATATGTTTGCATGTGGGTCTTCAAGAATCCACTGCTTCTGAGTATAAAGCAGACTTTTCGTCATCCTTTCATGCAGTTTAACTGTGTCCATGTAGTTTTTCTCACACAGCATTTGGCTCCTTCCGAAGGCTCCAGGCACAGAACAGAACTCACACCAACCATGTGCAGGACAACTAACCCTGGCCCTCTGGGGGCTTGGGAGTGGGCTCCCCGTGCCGACAGCTGAGGACCCTGGCTCCTGCAGCAAGGGCATGCCCAAGGGAGCAGACTGGCCTTCCTGCCTGCGGGAGAGGGCAGGTTCTACTTTCTAGAGCTGATGCAGACAATCAGCCAGAGCAGAGGTGCCTACCCCGCTGGGCTGAGCAGCAGATGGCAAGTGCCCTTCTCCACCCAACAGTCCTCACCTTGCTCTCCTCCTCCGCCAGCCTCTCAAACATGTTGGCATAGAGCTTCTTCTCCCGGGCGAGCTGCTTGCGGATCCGCTGCTGGCACACTGCCAGCTGGGCTTTGGCAGCTCTGTTGCTGGGGTAGAGCTGCAGGACCTTCTGGAAGTCAGCCCGAGCCAGGTCAAAGTCATTCACAGCCAGGTGGGCCTCTCCTCGACGGAAGAGGCCCTTCTCATTGCTGCTATCCATTTCCAGGGCCTAAGGATACAGGGAGGAAGCAGCAGTGAGAGGGCAGGCCTCGCAGCTCAGGTGGCCAAGGCTGGCTTTGGACCCCTCAGCAGGGTGAAGACAAACGGAAATGGTCCACTTCTCCCTAACAAAGAGCAAGGTGTGTGCTTGGGTGCCAGGTGCTGAAAACACCAAAGTCCTTGAGCTATTCTGGAGGCAGAGAAGACAGCTGGCGTTTGGCTGGAAGGGGAGAAGGGATGTCATTTCCGTCTTCCTTAGGTGGGTAAGAAGCTGGGAGAGAGTCAGGCTGGGAGAGCACGCAAAGATTTCCCCCCCGAGCTTCTGCCTCCCTGCACCCTGAAACCAAGGTGCAGGCTGCTCACAGGCCACCCCCTTGGGGCTCCTGGGGACCCAGACCTCCATTCCTGTCTGCCAGCTGGCTTCCTGAGTCTCACTGCTGCGCCGTCCATGGCGCCTCACCTTGTTGCAGTTTTCAATGGCTGCCGGGAAGGCCTGCAGCTTCAGATGACACATGGCCAGGTTGAGGTGGGAGGCCAGGCGCAGGGCCTGTGCCTTCTGCACCTCCTCAGCGGAGAAACTCGACTCGTACTCCAGCCAGGACACAATCTTCTTGTACTGAAGCAAGGCTTGCTTGTACTTGCCTTCCTGGAATGGGAGGGCAGGCTCAGCGTCGGCCACCTACCATAACTTGTACATGCTGGTGACTATCGCCTCCACACAGTCCATAAGACCGACGGGCTCAGAACCATTTGGGGCCCAGGGCGGGCAGGCAGGCGGGCGGGCAGGCTGCCTGGGGCGTGCTGGGAGCATGACCATGACCGTGACCGCTGGCTCACCTTGAAGTACACGGTGCCCCGCTCTTTCACGATGGCACTCTGCTCCAGTTTTTCCTCGGAGTTCATCTCCCACGACTCCTTGGCCTGCAGGACCCAGGGAGAGACAGGTGTCGGCCCCCGCTAAGCCAGACTGCGTGGCGAGGGAAGACACTGCGTGGACTCACCTTCTCAAAACTCTTGAGGTGTAACTCATACTTCAGCTCGGCACCGGGGGGGATCTGGAACTTTTCCTTCCCCTCATCGCCAAAACCGTAACTGCAGGGTTAAAAGGATGTGGGGGTCATCTTGGCCGTGCCCACCTCCTCCTAGCACTTCTCCACTTCTCAACCACCCCTCCGCTCCATGCCTTGAGACTTGACTCAAAAGCTTCCTGTCTGGCACTGTCCCCTGCGCTTGCCACACAATCAGATGGTCCCTTAGCACCTTTTCTGTCTTTTTTAATAACTCATAAGCACACAGTGATGTGACTGCTAATTTAAATGGTTCTTTGGCAAACAGTGAGTCAACACAGGGTGAGAACAATGTTCTATTAGTCTTCAAACCTCTAGATTTTCAGCAGCATGCCGGATTAAATGGGAGATGAAAATCTTCACGTTGAGGGCCTGGCACAGTATCCTAGTGGCTAAAGTACTCTCCTTGCATGTGCTGCGATCCCACAGGGGTGGCAGTTCACATCTGAGCTGATCCACTTCCCATCCAGCTCCCTGCTTGTGGCCTGGGAAAGCAGTCAAGGATGGCTCAAAGCCTTGGGACCCTGCACCTGCGTGGGAGACCCAGAAGAAGATACTGGCTTTGCATCAGCTCAGTTATGGCCATTGCAGCCACTTGCAGACAGAAGATCTTTCTTCATCTCCTCCTCTCTGTGTATCTGCCTTTCCACTAAAAATAAATCTTCACAAAAAAATCTTAATGCTGACAGCACCACGATGTAGATTAAGCCTCCACCTGCGGTGCTAGCATGCCAATGTACACCAGTTGTGTCCCAGCTGCTTCATCTCCGATCTAGCTCCCTGCTAAAGCACCTGGGAAAGCAGTGGCCCAAAGCCTTGGGACCCTGCACCCATGTGGGAGACCTGGAAGAGGCTCCTGCCTCCTGGCTTTGGATTGGCTCAGCTCTGGCTGATCTCTCTCTGTACATCTACCTTTCAAATAAAAATAAGTGAGTCTTTAAAAGGGATCACCACGGCACATGTGGGGTGCTGCAGCCACGCCCAGGGTGTGAAGGGGAAAGGACGGAGCCAGCTTGGAGCCTCAGGGCGGACGTCGAGCTCTCTGGCCTGGCGTGGCACAGGCTCACCTGGGCTTGAGGTACAGGATGGCCTGTTCTCCCTTCTCCATGCGCTGAATAGCCTTCTCTATCCCGCAGGGCAGATCCAGGCTGTCGCCCTCGCCGACCTCAAAGCGCAGCTCCCGCTGGTCAAAGAGCCGGTCCTTGTAGTAGCCTTCCAGTGCGACTGGTGTGCAAAAGGCCAAGTGTTAGAGGCAGGGGACCACCAGGAGGAAGGATGCCACCGGTCTCCCTGTGCCGTGTCATCATTTCTTGCCCCCAAGATGCCTATGCTGTGTTCTCAGAACTGAAGGGTATTAGAGTGTATGGGCCAGATCCCCACTTCATGAACAAGAAAACAGGCTCAGAGAAGGATGTGATTTAGCCAAGACCACCCTGGAACCCAAGCACCCGAGGGGGCCAAACCCCAGGTCCCAGCTGTATGTGCTCACCCTCCACAATTGCGCCGTCATTGGGCCTCGCATAGCCTTCTCCCCGAGTCCGTATTCTGCGGATGATCCCACCATCTTCTTCGTCTGTCAGGTCCTCGCCCTTGAACTCGAACAACTCCACCTGTGGTGTGAGACCCAGAATGACATAGCTCCTTCGCCCATGATGTCAGTGATGGGCTAATGAATGTACCCTGGCCTCAGCAGAGGAGTCTCCAGGGACCAGCTGGCAGATTTCAGCCAGTTCAGGAGAGCCAAGAGTTTTATTCTACTCTGCAAGGGTGTGTTTCTGATCCCACTTTCCTTGGGGGAACTGGGGGGCGGTGGGGAGCTCAACTGGGAATGGAGGGCTTTAGACAAGAGCCTGCATCTTCCAGTGTCTTCTGGGCACTGTCCAAGCATCTACTGCTGGGCTTGAAAGAGTGAGGCCTCCAGCAGTCCCTACTCCAACCCACAGAGCAGCAAGCCTCTGCTGCCTGAGCTGACTTCCTGACCCTCCAACTGCTTCAGACAAACAACGGGCATCTCTTGTCTGGGCTCCCTGGTCCTACCTGGAGCCTCCATTAACTAGCCAGGTCCGGCAGCAGCAAAGCCAGCTGCCCTTCCCACTTCTAAGGCCAGGCCCTCAGCCTTGGCTACATTGTCTCCAAGAGGCAGGAAGGGCTGGAGAGCAGCCAGCCACTGGGCTGAGATAAGGCTTGGCTGGGTGCCCGGGGCTCTGGCTGGACACTCACCTCAAACACCAGAGTGGCGTTGGGGGGGATCTTCGGAGGGCTGCCTGCCGAACCGTAGGCATATTCGGGTTTGCAGGTGATACGGCACAATTCGCCCACCTTCATGGTTGCCACGGCAACATCCCAAGCCTTGATGACCTCCCCTGTAGACACAAGAGGCAGACGGGACCCTCTTAACAAGTCTCAGGGCTCACCCCCATCCTAGGGAGGCGGGGGAAGAGTAACCGGGAGCTGAGAAACCTGGCTGCATGAAGTGCTACTGGGTCTCAGAACTCTAAACTACACCCAACCCTGGGACAAAGAAGGTCAAGAGCAGGACTGTCCACCCCTGGAGAGGGAGCCAGGGTGGAGGGAAGGCAGGAGCCAGCGGCCAGAGACCAGCAGCCCTCCTGAGCTGGGCTCTGGGAACCCGCTCCACCCTCCAGTCAGCTACTGATTGCACTGCAACCTTCCTGCCAGCCCACTCCCGTGCCTACCTTTTCCCAGGTCAAAGGAGAATTTGTCCTTGCGGTCCAGACTGGAGTCAAACTTTGTGCCATCTAACAGCCAGCCGGTGTAGTGGACAAACACTCGGTCCCCAATCATGGGGGTCTCTTTGCCTGTGCCCTCTCTCTTGATGACCTGGGAAGATGGGAACACACACTGAGCAACCCTAAAGGGTTGGAGGACCTGGGCACTAGCAGCTTCACTAGCTGTCCGCTAACCTTCCCCAGCCTCCTACAGGTGCAGGAAGACTGAGCCTGGTGAGGCAAGAACTGAGCTCCAGTGTTGACTAAGGCTGGAAAACTCTCTCTTAAGATCACACCGGGAAGGGTTGGATAGAACACTATCATTAGCGGCAGCCAAAGGGGGAAGTGTCCTTGCTGCACTTCCTCATTCCTCCTATACGCCAGTGGTGGTCAGCAGGATGAGTGTCAGGACGCAAAATAGGACGGTTCCAAACGGGGACAGACCAGGTGACAAGTGAGCCTGCACACCTGCCATAAGGCCCCTCAACTTTCCACTCGGGCCCGAGTATTCAAGATGGGAACTAACAAAGTCCCCCTTCGGGGTAGGAAATTTTCCAGGCGCACAGACTTCCAACCCAGGCCACCTGGTAAGGTGTACGGGACCCTCTGAGGGGGAAGCTTCCACAAGATGGGACAGGGACGGTGAGGAGCACAAAAAGATAAAGCCAGGCAGGGGTGGAAGTTGCTAGAGGAATGGCCCTTCCCGGAGTTAGCAACCTCGTGGAAAACAGCAGGAAGCTACACGAAGTCGGAAAAGCCACATGGCCACGTGGGAGCCGCTGGAGCAGAGGCTCGAGGTCGCCGGCACGTGCGAAAACGCCAGGGGGCCTGTGCGCACCACGCGGACGCTCCCTGAGGCCTCTGGCTTTGCACATGTCGGCCCCGTGGTGGCCGGGCTTGAGCAGCGGGCAGCCAGGATGGCAGACGCGGCACGGATGGGGCACCGTGCATGAAACACGCACGACTTCGGAGGTTACCTCCCTTGGTCTTTCTGCAGCACGGGACTAGCCTCAACTACGGACTGGCCAGCCCCCGTTCAAAGGCACCTCTTCCGCCCGCCCTCAAGGCGGAAAAAAAAGCAAAGACCCTGCGCCCCACCTCCCCGCCTCGGCCGCCTTCACACTCCAAAAAGCCCCAACTCGAAGAGGCGCCGGGGGCGAGGGTGAGCGGAACTACAGGTCCCGGCAGGCACCGCTCCCGGTCCTCCCCGGGCCGAGGGAGGGGGCACGGCAGGGCTGAGCAGGTGACCCAGGCGGGCGCCAGCGTTTGGAACCCGGGACGCGGAGCGAGCGTGGGGGGCGCCGAGCGCAACGGGTCGCACAAAGGGCTCCGAGCCAGGAGACGACTCCGGGAGCCGCTTCTCAACCCGCGCCACCGTCTCACCGCTAGGGCGGACGGGCTCCCCGCACCATCACCGCCCGGGCGGCTCCAAAGACTTTTTCAGTTCCATTGGGCAGCTCCGGCCGGGCCGCGAGGTTGCGGAGCAGGTGAGCCAGGGGGCGGCGCGGGGAAAGGCGCGGGCCCCGGGCGCCCCGCCCCTCTCGGCCGCCCCGTGCACGCCGGAGTTGGCGCCGCAGCCTCGGCCCCTGCCCGGTCCGGGCGCGGGAGGCTAGAACCCGTGCTCGGACCCCCTGTCTCCCGTACCCCGGGGCGGGGGACACCTAGGAGCCAGCAGACGCCAAGACCCGCGCACTCCTATCTTCCCCCTTCTGGCGCCCCGTGTGGCCCGCCACTATCACCCCCCAAAACAACGCCGCCCAGCCCCGAGAGGGCGACGCGACGGCCGCGGGCTCCGGGAGCCGGCCGCCCGTTCCCGCCGCAGCCCTCCTCACCTTCAGCACGCCTTCGTCCTGCTTCGGGCTGATGTCCACGCCCTCGAGGGGCAGCGGCGCAGACTGCGCCCCGCTCTCGGTCGCCTTCATCTCCTCGGCGGTCATGGCCGCTCGGCGCCCGCTGAGTCGGCGGACTGGGCGAAGCGCGAGCCAAACCCTCTGGAACGCCGGGCCGGAGTGTGGGGAGTGCGGGGCGTGCGGGCTGGCCGCAGCTCGCGCTCTCTGCAGCCGGCGCGCTCGGAGCCCGCGGCGGAGGCGGACGGCGGCGGGGGGCGCGATTGGTCCCACCCCGGCGCGAGGGAGGGGCTGGGAGGAGCTGGCGCGCGAGCGAGAGACGGAGGGGGGCGGGGGCGGAGAACTTTCTAGAGTCGGCGGCGGCGGCCGAGCCGGTTCTGGCTGTTAGTGCTTAGGGGCGCTTGGACGGGTACGTTTTCCGGGTCGTCCCTCGCGCTGCCCGGCTCCCCCTCCTGGGGTCCCGGGACTCTTGGGGACCACTTCCCCAGCGCTCTTTTGGGTTCCTCCTCTTTCCCTTCCCCCACTCTCCCCCTCCCCCCCCCCCGCACTGGCTTCCAGATCCTCCCAGATCTTTCTCGATCCCTCACCCTCCCCCGCCCCCGCCACCCCCTTCGGCGCCTGGCGCGCCGGCCGTCCCACATGGCCCCGCGCCCCGCTTCTCGGCGAGGGGCCGGGGGCCGGGGGCTCCGCGGACCTGGAGCACGGTGGGCAGCGCGGCCGCCGCCCCGCCGACACTGGGGGTGCGGTCTAAGCATCTCCGGGGACAGGGCGGCACGGGGTGCGGGACCCAGGCCCGCGAGCGCGTGACAGGCGGCCGTCGCCCGTGCGCTGGAGAAGCTGGGGCAGCAGCCCTGAGGATGTCCCCGCAGCAGGGCAGCCCGGCCAGGCACCCGCACCCCCCCAGGTTCCCCTCGTGTCCGAAAATGCGCCGAGCGGTGCTTTGGCTAGAAGGACTTGCTGGGTAAGCGACGGACTTGGAGAGCGGGCAAGTCGTGTAAAGGGACCTTCCTGGCTGATAGTAAAATTGACCTTTTCGGTGAATCCTGAAAGAAATACGTTGGAACAACTCGTTCCATGCTAGTGAAAGCCCGTGAGAAAGAAGTGTTTTCTGCGTTTGAGTCATAACCAAGTGTTTATCATTGTGGGTTACGATGTGCAGCGCGACTTCTCACCTGGTGGGCAGCGCTGAGTGTCCAGTGAGTGCTGGCGGACTGGCTGCAAGCATTTTTCTCTCTTTTTTTTTTTTTTTGCAAGCATTTCTTATTGCAATATAATAAGTATCTCCCGCGCTCCCCCGTCCCCTGCCCCGTGTTGCCGCTGTGCTTGTTGTTTTTTAAGACAAGCTCCTCTGGACAAATTGGAGCAGTTCTTAAAGCTGAAATTTCCATGTTAGAATTTTGACGCTGCCAACACGAACGTCTCTGAGCCAGCTTATCTGGCTGGTCTCCTCACCTCTGGGCCCACCTTTCGTCCCAAGAAGCCTTCTTTTTTGGCTGCCTGGGACAACTTCACGTGCTTTAAATATTTAAAAAATAGTGGGAAAGAAAGAAAAAAAAAAAGAAATTCTAGGTAAGGGTGCTTTAAAGATTCGGGGAGGGGCAGGTGTTTGAGCCATCCAGGCGCCTGCATCCGGGATCGGATTGCCTGGGCTCCAGTCCTGGTTTTGCTCCTAATTGTGGTAGCTTCCTGTGGGAGGCGGCAGGTGAAAGCTGTTTGGGCCCGGGCCACCCACGTGGGAGGCCCAGATAGAGCTCCTGGCTCCTGGCTCCTGGCTCCTGGCTCCTGGCTCTGGTTTGTCAGTAGGCATTTGGAACTAAACCAGCAGATGGAAAAACTCGGTCTCTCTACCTTAGAAATAAACAAGTGTTTAGTTTAATTTTAGGTGGAATAATACATGCACTTATTATTGGTCCAAAAGAAAAAAAAAATAATCCTAATGCATAGTTTATTTTTCCATCAACTTTTTGAGGGCTTTCTCCTGTGTGTGAATTTTTAAATTTTTTGCTCCACCGAAGTTGATGTTTTTCTTGCATTTTGCATAGACTTCCTGAAGTACCTGCAGTGCTGTTTGAATCCCTCAGGAGAAGGTGAGGCCAGTGTATGCTGTGCTGTGCACACTGCACCCACACGTATGTTACATACCATGCAGTCCCATGAAGTGAAAGACTATGCTGTCTAACCTCGTAGTTGAAACATTCCTAATAGAAAACTGTTCCAAAAATGTAATGCCCCAAAAAATTTTGTTTAAAAGCTTCTCACAGAATTTCTTGGTTCCACGGTGTCTGTTGACCGAAACCACTCACCGTGCTGAACAAAACAGCTCCCTTCGCCTGTGGCTCTGGGACCGAGTCACTTGGTTCAGATGCCAAGATCGGGTTTGCCCTGGGTTCAGCTCTCCGCCGCTTCGTTGCGCTCACCAACAGCACCTGTTTCCTCAAGGCTGCAGGGAGGGAGGGCCAGTCTAGTGGTCCGGTGGCCCCGCGAGCGTGCCGCCTGCGTGCAGCCTGCTGCTGCGTGCTGGCGGGGGAAGTGGAAGGCCCCAGACTGCCCACCCCGAGCCCTGAGGAGCCCCCGCCATACGAGGCTCAGCTGCATTAATTTGGAGGAGAGTAAATCACATCTGTCCTTGTCCTTTCAGGTTTCCTAGTGAACTTGACTAATACGGCTCGCAGTAGCTCTGTGTGCTCATATTTTGTAATTGCACCGGGACTGGCAGAGCGCATGGAAGCTAAAGACCTGGTCTCTATTTTTAAGATTTTTAAAAATGTATTTCAAAGAGCGACACAGGAAGGGAGAGAGAGAGAAGCCGCAGAGCTGAGGAATTCAGAAATGATGGTTCCTTCAGTATAATGGCTGGCCTCCGTGGTTCGTCTGTGCTAGCATGTTAAAATGTATAAACTAATGGTAATAAAAATTTACATGAGAGTTCAGTTTTGTTCCTGTACCCTAGACTTTCACTCTTAGGTTCATAATAATCCGCGTAAAATAATGTTTATGCCTTCAGCGTTTAACCAGGATGTATGAATTGATTTGAAAGGCAGAGTTACAGAGGGGACGAGCGAGCGTTTCCATCATCTGATTCACTTTCCAAATGGCTGCAACAGCCAGGGCTAGGCGTGGCTAAAATCAGGAGCACAGAACTTGTGGGTCTCCCACGTGGGTGGTGGGCCCGGAGCTTTAGCCTAAGCTGGATAGGAAGTAGGCCAGCTGTCTGGGAAGCAGGGGTGGTGGAACCGGCTGGACTGACGGGGCCTAACCCCCAGCCCCAGCGATTAACCCTCAGTGAGGTCTGCAGGTGGCCCCTGGTGGAGAGCACAGTGCTTGCGTTCCTGGGTTTACATCCTGAGGTTTGAATTCCCTCCAGCAGAGAGAGGGGCATAGACTCATAAGCCTTTGGCCAGGAGGGACATCTTTTTACAAAATTTATTCATTTCTGTGTAATTGAAAGGGCAGAAGAGAGAGATAAGGAAGAAGAAATATCCTCCGTCATGTGGAACACATTCCCGCAGTGCTCCCAAAGGCTAGGGCTGGGCCAGGCTGTAGCCAGAGGCAGAGCCGACGTGGATGGCTGGGGCGCACTCCTAAGCCACCCTCTGGTTTGAAAGGGGGAGGCAGGACTGGGTCTCAGGTGCTCCAAGCAGTGAGCCATGACACCTTCTGGTTTTGTTTTTTTAACCTTCCAGGTCTTGGTTTGCCCTGGGCTTCTTGGACCCCTCCCGTGGGGAGGAAAAGCCCTGTCCTCAGAGCAGCTTGGTCCCACTCATGCACCCTGTCTGCAGTGTGCAGGATTGTCAGCGTTTACTAAAGGGCTCGCCAAGAGCTCAAATGAACTGCCGAATGGGCTGCCGAGATGGGTAATGAATATGGCTCTGCTTTTTGAACAGGCAGGTTGTAAGTGCTGACATTTTCATTTTGATCACATTAAATATACATCAAATTAGAGAGATTTTGCCTTAAAAAAAGATTTATTTATTTTGAAAGCATTACAGAGAGAAAGAGTCAGAGGCAGGGTTGAGCCAGGCTGAAGCCAGGACATTTCATCCAGGTCTCCCACGAGTACAGGACCCGAAACACTTGGGCCAGTTCTGCTTTTTCCAGGCCGTTAGCAAGGAGCCAGGTTGGAAGTGGAGCACCAGGGGCGTGAATTAGCACCCACACTACCACGCCAGCCCTGATTTGACTTTTGCGTTAGTTAAAACATCTCAAAGATCTGTTTGAGAGGTAGAGAGCCTGCCCTCCACTGTGCGTGCAGGCCCTCAGCTGGGCTGCAGCCAGTCCTGCCCCACGGGCGACAAGCACCCATTCCCTTGAGCCGTCTTGCTGTGTCTCAAGGTTTGCATTGACAGGGAGTTGGCAGTGAAGCAGGTATTAATTCTAGGTACTTAGCCTGCATCTTGTTTTTTTTTTTTTTTTAAGATTTATTTTTATTGGTAAGTCAGATATACAGAGAGGAGGAGAGACAGGAAGGTCTGTCTGATGATTCACTCCCCAAGTGAGCGCAACGGCCGGTGCTGTGCCAATATGAAGCTGGGAGCCAGGAACTTCCTCCAGGTCTCCCACACGGGTGCAGGGTCCTAAGGTTTTGGGCTGTCTTCAACTGCTTTCCCAGGCTACAAGCAGGGGTGCTGGATGGGAAGTGGAGCAGCTGGGATTAGAACTAGCACTTACCTGGGATCGGGGCGTGTTTAAGGCGAGCACTTTAGCCACTAGGCCACCATGTCGGGCCTCTTTAGCCTACATCTTAACTGCTATGCCAAAGGTTGCCTGCCGTGATCCGTTTTGAATTCACTTTTTCTATGGTGTGGGGTAGGAGTCCAGTTCAATTCATTTGCATATGGATGCCCAGTTGATAATACTTGCTCCCCAATAAATTTACTTGGCACATTTGTTGACAATCTGCCAGGGCAGGTATTGTGGTGTCGTAAGTAAAGCTGCTGTCTATCAAGCTGGATTCTGTATAGGCACCAGTTAGAGTCAGTTACTCCACTTTATTTTGTTTTTGTTTTAAAGATTTATTTATTTTTATTGGAAAGTCAGATATACAGAGAGGTGGAGAGACAGAGAAAGATCTTCTGTCCAATGATTCATTCCCCAAGTGGCCGCAATGGCCGGTGCTGAGCCAATCTGAAACTGGGAGCCTAGAGCCCCTTCTAGGTCTCCCACACAGGTGCAGGATCCCAAGGCTTTGAGCCATACTCAACTGCTTTCCCAGGCCACAAGCAG